CTCTAAGGCTGAGCCCGGCCGCTGTAGATGCGAGGTTTGAGAGAATGCACCAATAACCCAAACTGCAGCAGAATGTGAAATGAAGCGCATGTGAAGTCATTTTCTCTTGCTCACACAAACACAAACAAACATATATGCAAATAGATATAACAAAAATATGTAAATACATATTATTGGCTGTTAGTGTTAGCTGTTGATGTATCTTTTTTAGTATTATATACTCAATAACAATAATAACAATCATACTACAATGGGATGAACAAGATGACATACATACATTACATAATTAAAATAACTATGTTGGTATTTACAGTAACAATAACAATTACAATAATATATTGAAACAGTGAACAATAATGAAGAATACATCTAATATAATATTATCTAATATATAAAAGTAACCTGCTTCATGGTCAGGAAGACATTACTAATTGCTGATAAGGACAACTAAGGCAGGATCATTCCTTTTATTACAAAAATAATGGTCACTTTCTCCAGAGGATGTCGAACACCTGAGAGCCACTTTGGCAAAGATTGCTTGAAGCCATCAGGATTGAGATCTTGTCAAACGGGCGCTCCTGGTAAGTGTGGGATGGGGATAGGTTGGGTGGGTTCATGGAGCAATGCGCGACCTCCAGGCCAAATTGTCCTCTGATTCTGTGCCAATTGGAAACCTCTCAGTCCACAACCAGCCGTCTTCACAGACACTCAAACACAGTGTTCTCTCCCACAGCTGTTATCACCATTGTTTGTTCTCTCTTAATTATTGTTTTTCTCCAAGAGCCCAAACCCCAAGTCAAGTGCTTCCTGTCCGCGCAGCTGTAAGTCCTCCAACACAATTACTTCGACATGCAATCACTTGCATACAATGGGGAAATATAGCAAAAACACATTCCCAAATCTCACCAGGCTCTATTGAGACCAATTTATGATCTGAGCTTGATTGTACACTGGAAGGAATGTGCATGTGCATGCAAACTTTCCAGAATTGTTCATCATCTCACAACATTCAGTCGGTTGAGGTGTCCGGCTGACTTTCCGATTCAGGTCACTCTGGTCTTCCAAGTGATTTCTCATTAATTAAGTCCTCATTACAGCTTCCCATCATGGACAAATAGTCTTAAAAATGGCGTATGATCATCTGGAAGTCCTTGAGGTGGATCGCTGTGCGGAGCAGCAGAGATAACCGTTTAACTCCTTCTTCAGAACACCAGCCTGATCCATTTCATCCACATCAGGCCTGTGGCCCCCCATTTAAGTGTAAATTACACTGGGAAAGGTATTTCCGACTACAGGTGATCATGGGTGACTGTTTCTCTCTAGCCAATCCAAGAACATAGTCCAATTCGCAATGGCTTTATATCCATTGGTAGTAAAGAAAACCAATGGTAGTATAAAATGTGTTATCAGCTAGGTCAGTTCTCTATAATAATATGGTGAATGAAAGGATTGCAAAGCACCCTGTTATATAAAACTCAGCCACTATATCCCTGAATCACTGTTGTGATGCCAGACTGACAGTGAAAATAACATCTGTTATGTAGAATCCTAATTTTAGGTCAGGAAAAGCAGTTACAAAGGAAAGCATATCTCTAATTATACATCAGTTGTAGAAAACACGCAAAAAATGTTTTAAAGAACCACATCCAAAGCTTCACAGGCATTAGATAAAAAACATATAACACTTTATTATCAGTTTGCTTCATACTAAGGCTGAAAATGTAGCTTTGTTTTTCTAGTTTTACACAATCTGCCTAATAATTCTCTTTCAGGGCTACAAAGTTGCTTCATAAAATATGTTTGGTGAGAAAGATGATGATGAACTAATCGAGAGAAAATATGTACATATAGGAGTCTGAATTTATCAGTAAAATGTTCAATATGTTTTTCACACGGCAACTGAATCATTTGTTTTGGTTCTGTGTATGGACTAAGCTAACCACTAACCAATTTATTTTATTTATTTTTTATATATATATATATATATATATATATATATATATATATATTACATAACATGTCATTTAGCGGACGCTTTTATCCAAAGCGACGTACAATAAGTGCATTCAACCATAGGGTACAAACTCAGGAGAACAAGAAACAAGAAAGTGCATATATATATATATATATATATATATATATATATATATATATATATATGCGAGTCTATATGTGTACATATTGACTTTCTATATCACATTAAGCCATAACAGATTCCCTATACCAAAAAAGTGAAGCTATTTAAATGTCAGCCTATGTTAAGATATTTTCTTCTTCTTTGTCTCATCACATAATTAGCAGGCGCATTTCATGTTGGTTCAAAAGGTTTGCCAAGAGCATTTTTTTATTTGATATTTACAGTCGTTGCATCCCTAAATTAAGCAACTATTGCCAAACCTTATTTTTCTGCTGTTTGATGCTACGAATTGAAAAAGTCTATTTGAGCTGCAGCTTTTCTTTTACGTTTTAGGTGATCCAGCAAAGTGACAGCCAATTTGCTGACAAAGCATGCATTGATTCAAATAGTGATAGTGAGTGATTTGACTTAACTAAGGAAGAACATTCAGTGCAACCAAAGGAGGCTTCACCTCGCTCATCCATTTTCTCAACAACTTCAATCAGGTGGCATTTATAGTCCTACTACTTGAAGGGATGTGGAACCTCTATTTTGAGCTGTAATGCTCCAAGCAAGTCATGACGTGACTGTATAGCGTCCTGTGAATGGTCTGCCTGGAGGTTACTTGTTCCCAATGGTGACATCTCATCCCCTTTTAAAAATGTACTATAAAGTAGCTTCAGTGCAGTCAAGGGAACCTCTTGCCTCACAATGGAGTGCTCAGAGATGTGGGATGGATTCGGTACAGTATAGTATCCATTTTTAACTATGAATTGTTTTTGAGTATGCAGATGTGAGGGGTTTTTTTCTACAAAATTATGCTTTTGCAGAGTCTGGTCGATGTGCTTTGAATTCCATTCCTTAATGGATGGAGGCCGTCATGTTCATTTCAATGTTTATTGGCCAAGCAGCTGCAGCTCCTAGGCCTTTCAGGTACACCGCAAATGACTAACTTGCACCTTTGGGAGTCAAACTAATTAAAACATATAATCTATCCCACTTTGTGGAAACCTCAACCAGAAGATGAGGAAACTCGAAGATGGAGTGTGTTACTTTGGATTGTTGATTGAATTCATATAGCATTAAAAAAACGTAAATTGCTTGTTCGCTAGTAGTACGTTTTTGATTACAGCTCTTCTGATTTACATTTGCATGACTTCATTACCTGCACTTCAGAGTGTGACAAAATAAGGTAAAAGTGCTGAGAGGCAAAATATTGGGAATGGGAGAGCAGGGGTGAGTACTTCTACTTTTTCTACTTCTACTACTTCTGCCCTTAACCTGACAGAGCTCTATATTTAGGACTTCACATTTTCAATGCAGTGTCATGGAGGCTTAGCATCACCCCCAACATGATTAATCCAAATTGAACATATTTAGGATTGTATTTCCCCTTTCTGGGTGATGGTTACAACATTAGCTATCTAGTGTCTAGTGGGTGAATGCAATAGTGATTTTCAGACATATCTGTTCATCAGCCGAAATAGCCACTAGAGGCCTTTGACTACAAAATGCAACCCCAAAATACCCTTACCAAACAGGAAGAAAGCAACAACAACAAAAAACTGGGCCTACTAAAAACACAAACTACAAAAAGAGACATCAAGCCATTACTAATTGACAAATTACCAATTGACAAACAACTGCAAAGAGATGCACAATCTTCAGACACATAAATACTACAAAAGACACTAAAACCCAAATAAAGTGTGTCTTGCTCTTGTTCAGGAGAAATCCTACAGGCTCTCAGGCTCCAGCAGACCTCTATACTAGATTATGTATCTGCATAAAACTCATTATAATACGGGTACATTATTGGGCGATAATGGTAGAGTTGCTGTTCACATTGATTCAAGCGTTCCATAGCACTCCGCACTCAAAGTAACAAGTTAGATTTCACGCGAACGTTAGTTAACATTTTAGCTCGGTGGCGATTGCCAAAATAAGACCCGGAAATCCCACAAATGATCGGTTTCAGGCAATGCAAGCTTTCGCAACCGGACAATTCAGGTGGACGTCATCACCGATGTAAATGAATGAGATGGTGCGGGACCCGATGCTGTTTGCACGCACGTACAGGGACTATTTTTTCTCTAGACTACTGAAATGCGAGTGGTGGCTACAACTATTTTGTGCTGAAAGGGATGGGCTGAAAGGCAGCCATTTACTGTTCGAGGGTTGTCGGCCCTCCGCCTTGCGTCGGGCCTAACAACACCCCCGAACTGTTACATTATTGGATGATAAAGTACAGCCTCTCATACCTTATTGCTTTAATAAGTTGATCGACTGAATGTAATCAGTGAATATACTCATCACGTAGTTTAAAAAAAAAAATGCTTTAAGCAAATAACAAACATCTGTTTCCGGTATGTCAAGTTTAATTGTTTTCTTGGTATTAGTCAATAATAAATTATGTATTTGACTGTGGACAAAAATATGTTTTTGGGATATTGTGTGTCCAATATTTACTATTTTTAATACATATATATATATATCACGCTTATATCATATATATATATATATATATATATTAGTGGTAATATACTTATTAAAATGGTAGCACTATAATCTAGATTAGTTTATGTAATGGTTTATAATTTGAAAGGTATTTAAAAAATAATGTATTGGGAATTGCATTATAGTTACTGTAAACATACATGAGAATGTGTTCTCAATTGTTATATTATACTGTACACAAACATAAATTGGTACAGGTACGGTGTGATTGACAGACTGACAACCAATGCGAACTGCTGTAATCGTCATGTGTCAAAATTTTACCCCAACATGTTTTATTCCTCGGCAAATATATTTGGGCTTCAACTGGATATTCACGCTGAACAGTGTAATCTGTTAACAGTGGCATCATTTGACAACAAGCGTTTTTGTCTCATGAGGCTACATTAGACCACCACTGCCTCAGCTATCCGTCTCTGGCACAGACGTACGGGACCTGTTCGTATTGCCGACACGTCGACACGGAACTCAGTCACAACCGATGCAAATCGCAGAATTGGCGTCTCTCGCCCTACTCTTTTGAATATGTGTCATATGTCGGTGAACGGACCGTCTATTTTTGCCTATGTGTATTTAAACGGAAGATTAACCGATTAAATACCACCGCGGAGAAATGCGCACTGTATTCATGTCTTCTGACGTTAGAGAACTTACGCTGGAATAATACCAGCGACCTGCCGCAACGCCACTGAGAAGAAGTGTGGGTTTTTTTCTTCTTAAAGGTGGATTTAAAGTGCAGTCAGAAGGCACGTGTTTATTCCCCTACACAACACGGCTCCCCGGCGATAAGATTTGGATTAACACTAATGAACTAGGGTAAATAATCTCCACGGGACCGTGTCCAGGACAGGAAAGGCGACGCGTTGCTTGGCTGTGGGATTGTCTTGGTACACCTCTCAGCTGAAGACGATGTCCGTGTGGAGATACTTGGTCGCTCTATCCAAATGCACACTTATTCTCTCTCTGAGGATGTTGCTCCTTGTGCCCGCAGGGTTGCCGGTCCGCAGTCAAGGGGACTCTCAGTCCGACAACAAGGTGATGGATAATATCACCGTCCGACAAGGAGAGACAGTCTTCCTCAGGTGAGTCACTGCTGTTTTTCACTTCCTATCATCCCGCCGCTGTTTGGAATGATATCCCTAAAGTTGAGTGCTGCCTGCAAGCGTTCGTAATCGCAGTGTTTAGTGAGGGAGAAACGTGGTTGAAGTGTGTCTGCTTTATCATGTTCCCGCCGTTGGCAATGGGATGGGGGGGGTTCAGAGGATTAGTCTGTGGAAAACACTCCATTCGGAAGCGATACTCTGCTAATCTTTAGCAGCTGTTCACTCAAGACTTCGAGGTTCTAATTGTGGTGTGATGGTGCAGAACTAAAAAAGGTGAAGGGAAGGAAAAAGTGCGCTTCTGGAAGGAGAGGAAGAGCAGAGAAGAGATGGAGGATGTGCGAAAGGAAAGGAAGAAAAATAACAAATCACACGCACAATAAACACTGCGGGCGAAGAGATGGATTGACTAGCAATTCCTCCGGATGGGAGATTGTCTGCCATGACCTTTCCCCTCCTCTGCGTCCTCAGAGGCTTACTGGACACAGACGGATTTATGTTGCTTTCAAGTGCAGTCTGGAAATGTCCAGCAACAATCACAACTGCCAAAAGGAAGGTTTCTTAATACAGGAGTTGGTAAGATGTGATGTGCGCATTAACGGTTAAAATATGGGGTCAGATCAGTCTCAATAATTGCAAAAGCATGTAGAAAGATTCAAAAATGCGCACAGAAGGTTTCACATATAAATGTGTCTCACAAATGCATGCAAATCGATTCACAAATACATTCCAATGCATATACAATTATAATTCTGCATTTTATGTATTTGTTTGTGGACTTGTATGTAATTGCTTGTGGGGTTTTTGAGACTTCCCCAAGTGGCCGGATTTGCATATGCGTTTTCTTCAACATCGACATCAGATCAGATGTCCCCCTCATTTTCAACCAATCACATCCCCCCTCCCCAGGGGGCCGCCAGCTTCACAGTTGCGCAATTTGCGGGGCGAAGCTACAGGTTAGAGGTCAGCAAACAACGGCGTCTGGTAGTAGCACACTGCCCTTCAAGTGTAAGTGAACCAAGTTAAAAGTTTCATGGCATGAATGAATTAGGTTTGAGTTGCGAATTATTGCTACGTCAGATATATTACATCATGGATGTATTTTGCTGTGTTTTAATACAAGTGTCTCAATGTAATGCATACAACCGGATAATAAGCTAATTTAACTTAGTCACTATACAATCATTTTTACTAACTTTTCACACAACAGCCTCACTGGTAATTTGCTATGAAATGGCTTAAACATATTAATTAAAACAAGAAACACTTACAGTCCCCGGTGATCCGTACTGTGTCTCTGAACGCGAAGCCTCGGGGAGGCGGAGACTGACTTAGCTGTGAGTGATTATACAGTTTGTTGCAGCAGAATGGCAGATTGCAGTGCACAGACACATTGTACGTCCACGGAAAGTGCTTTATTTCCACTGACAGGCACAGATTGCTATTTTGTACTATTGTGTGTATTGTTCTTATCTTCCAAAAAAATTATGGAAATAATCTATGCATTGAAAAATATTTTCTTTTTACCTTTTTAATTGGATCTAGTCTGATGATTACCGCAGTTGTGCTCAATGGGAGGTCAAATCTTACGAGAGGTAACTTGTTGCTGAGAGTTGGCGAGAAGTATTACTTCGGAAAAGTGTCATATTGAATTATTTTAATAACATGACTGAAAATATGGCGAATTACAATAATGTGGATGAATCGTAACCATCTTCAGAGATTTCATAACGAGACTTTAATTCCACAAACTATTGTCCACATTAGTCACTATTAGCGCCTTCAGGACCATGGACAGCACCACTTCAACCACTCTGCAAGTCAACTTGTAATGCTGTCCAACTGGCTAATTGTCCATAAATCAGGCTCCCTTTATTTTCCAAGAAGCAAAGGATTTTGAAAAGGGATGATCATAGCAATTATAGCGTTAATAGGGACTTTATTTTGGCTCGTGTCTGATGTTGCTATCAATAATTGTATGGATCATGTTTGCATAATGTTTGATGCAGGTAATATTACAATAATGTAAGACTATTGGCATAGGAGTGAGGGGGGCGGTGGGGGTAGTAGTCAGGCAAACGGTTCGACTGACCGGGGGAGGAATAGTCACTTTGGTTCTCTTCTCTACACCACTGCTGCCAGCGCCACACAGGCATTTTTATGTCTGTGAACAGCTGGAAATGTTTGCCCCTTCTTTTTGGCAAAACGCTTACTCAAATTGGATGGACAAATTAGTCTGTGGACGGCAATTTTCAAATCTTGCCATAGATTCTCAATTGGATTTGGGTCTGGGCTTTGACTGAGCCAAACTGCATTATAGATTGGCATGTTTGGCTCCATACATCTTTCCCTCAATTCCGACTAGTTTTCCTGTACCCGCTAAAGTATCTCCACAGCATGATGCTACCACCACAATATTTCACTGTTGCAATGGCATGCTCAGGGTGATGGGCAGTGCTTGGTTTCCACCACACAGCGTTTTGCATCGAGGCCAAACAGTTTAATATTGGTGTATATAATAAAATTGCACTTTCTTGATTCTTGCTCTTCTGAGTTTGTATCCCTATGGTTGAATGCACTTATTGTAAGTCGCTTTGGATAAAAGCGTCAGCTAAATGACATGTAATGCGCGCACGTGGCGCTTGCACCAGCAGACTCACTACTACCCCCCCTGAAGTTGTAAACCTAGGGGAAACACAGAGCACCTTCTTCCACATGTTTCTGGTCTCTCCCACTTGGTTTGTGGCAAATTAGAAACATGATTTCTTATAATTTGCTTTCAACAGCGGATTTCTTCTTGCCACACTTCCATAAAGGCCAGATGTATGGACACGGCTAATAGTTGTCCTGTGGACACATTCTCCCACCTCAGCTGTGGATCTTTGTAGCTCCTCCATTAATCACCAGCGACCCCTTGGTTTCTTCTGATTAATTTAGTCTTTTTCCAGCTTGTCAGTTTAGGCAGATGGCCTTTTTTTATTAGGTTTGCAGTATTGCTGTATTTATTCCATTTTATGATGATGGATTTCATGGTGCTCAGTGAAAAGTTCAAAGCTTGGGATATTTTTTTTATAACCTAACCCTGCTTCATACTACAACTTTATCACTGAGCTGTTTTTTGAGTTCCTTGGTCTTCATGATGCTCTTCGTTCAATAATGATAATAATAATTTTCTAACAAACTCTCAGGCCTTCACAAAACAGGTGTATTCATACTGAGATTAAATTGAAGGCAGGTGGACCCTATTTAATAATTATGGGACTTGTGAAGGCAATTGGTCGCACCGGATCTTTGTTAGGGGTTTTGCAGTAAAAGAGCTGAATACATATGCACTCAACACTTTTTAGACCTTTGTTTGTGAATCTTTTTGAATTCCATATACACTTTCAACTTGGTGTTGGTCCATTTCATAAAATCCCAATGAAATGCATTTGCAATCTGTGATTATACCATGACAAAATGTGGAAAAGTCCAAGGGGAGTGAATACTTTGCGAGGCACTGTAAAAGCAAGGTCGGAGGTACAAGAGCTCAAAGCATTAGCAGTACCTCATACAGGTGTCAGCCGTTCTCCATTAGCACGCTAAACCATGTTGTATACCTTTTTATAGTTCTGATAATTAGGTATTGCACTCCTTTGTCATAAACTTCGAAAGCCAGAGCTGCCTCCTCTATGCGTTGTATTCAGGGCTGTGGAAGTTGATCAATACATAGCACTAATTATTACTTCATCTATGTAAAATGAGCTCTCACTCACCAGTTAATTCCCTGAGATTACAGCATAAATACAGCATCACAACATGGACAGATTTTGTACATATTCAGGGCGCCATATTTACGGGGGAGGGGGGGGTGTCCCCTTTCGATATATATACATATATATATATATATACATATATATATACATATATATATATATATATATATATATACATACATATATATATATATATATATATATATATTAATCAAGGTTGTCTTCCTTGATTAATAGAAATTCTGTGCATTAGAGAGCTCGACAGTTCTTAGTGTACTAAAAATAATGAATAAATAAAATAATGCGCTAGCATTTTCTGTCGGATTTTTTTAATAAATGCAACAGTATTCCTTTTTGTTGATTACAGACTGTACAGCCAGCAGCAGAGCTTGTCTGGAGAAGATCCTTTTTTAACTTGAATGCTGTTTGATTGCAAACAGAACTCAATAAGGGAAGTGTTTCTATCTGACTGATTAAGCTGAGCTTACTTTCAAAACACCACACCACCTTTGTAGAAGAAAATCTTTCTTAAATAGAGACTGTAAATCTCCATTCATAATACATGATCTACTATAAATGCACAGCACTGTCCATTAAATTGGGTTTGAAAAAAAGACTGGTTGCCTCTTGAGACTGCGATTAATGAATATTACTACAGTGGCTGAGGTAAGCCGTCAATCTCCCAAGACTCTTATCTAACTGCACAGACCATGCTGGTCTGAGAACCATCATGTTAACATTTAGTCTTTTCTCTTTGTGGCCCCATGAATGCATTAAGGATTTGGTTGAATGTTTCAGGGATGAAGCTTCATTCAAATATGAAAAATCTTAATATTTACTTTGCATGTGGAGAAGTTTTTCTTGAATATGTATTCACATATGCAGCTTCTAGCTTGTTGCAAATCAGAAGATGTTTTTATCCAGTCCATGGTTGGAGTTTACGCTGCTCTCAAGAGTGTTCATTTTATTCCTCGTATGTAATGGATCAAGACTGGAAAGCTGATAATCTGATTTCACAGAATCTGTAATTCCATTTGCCTTCACCTTGCACCGTCTAGCTATAGGCTTCCATCCACCAGACCCACGTTTTCGCTGATTGTCTTTACATAACTCTACCAAAAAGATCTTTCAACATCAAAATAAGAAAGCTCTGATAAGAGGAATGGCAGCAGAATAGGACTACTGTACGATCTAACTAGTTATAAAGTCCTTTATAACAGTGTTGTA